GTCTATCTTTACGATACTTTGTTAAAAATAATGGACCTACTATAGAATTACATCGTTTTTCTTTATTATATTCTAACCCAAAAACATTAATACTAATATCATTTAATTTCTCTACTTTTGCTATGTCAGAAATTTTAACCGGAAAAGAAATACCATCAAATTTAAGTTTATTTGCATGTTTAACGTACGATGATACCCGATCGGTGTGTTTGTTTACAGGATATAACGCCGAGAGTAACGCCCATTTAAAACAAAAATAATCCTTGTTTTTTACATTTATAACAGCCTTTTTTTAATTTTATGTCACGAGGAAGATGTGTATGAAGTACCGCGTAGGGGGTTAAATTTATTAACATTCATGTCTATAGATTTTATGTTTTTTAGACTCCATCCACTATCTTTTTTTTCGAAAGCACTAATTTTAGTAGTAATTGTATCATTTAAAGATGAAAGAAAAATATTTAAGTCATCTCCTTGACAAATAATATAGTTAAGCGTTTGAAAATCGAACGTATCATTAATATCTTTAGTTTGTTGAACAAAATCAGCATGCAATATGAAGTTTACCTTAAAAATTATGTGTTGATGAATACACTCTTGTAATAAAAATAAAATATCATCTTTAATAGAATTTAAAAATAGTTCAGGAGTTTCAAAATTTACCCATGTCGAACGATCTACTCTACTCTTGATTTTATAAGTTAAAATCCTATTTCCAAAAGCAGATTCAATAACACTAACGTTTGATAAAGAATTATGTGAATTTAAAAGATTATTTTTATGAACATTACTTTTAAAATGATTAGCTAAATACCGTTTCTTGATAAATATATGGCACGTTGGACATTCCACTTGATCATCGTTACTGATACTGTTCCCTGCAGAGGTATGCGCTTCTGCTTCCGTTGTTGGTTTTTTGATGATCTTGGATGCTTTGCTGCACGTTCGCTTCGTTCCTCTTCCAAGTTGTAGTGGTTGACTGCTAAAATGTTTAAATTTATTAAAAACTGTATAAGACAATATGTAAATTATGATCGAAATGAATGTTTATTTTACATACTTAAACTGTGTTTCAACCATCGCACAGTGATGATACAACTCATCATCGTATGACCAATCGAACAGTTGACCCCTCTCCATTTCTTCACAAACTTTAGACAACTCCTGATTTAATTCGCTATTGAATAGTTCCGTATTCTCTTCCATGATTGTGGAGAAAGAAGCACTGGTGCACACTTCACTGAAGTTTTCCCTTCCTCTTTTTTATTTTTGATTCAGCTTCAAAAAAATGATCAATCGATTGCGATTTTCTTTTTCCACCATCGCATGTGTTATTATTAATGACGAGGTTATCACTCTCTTCTTGAGGGGAGAGTGGCGAGTAGTAATACTGTTTATAGGTATCTTCATCGAAGCTCAATGATTTCTGCAACAACACAGTTATCATGTTAATATCAATTTGTTAACACTTAATCATAAAAGTTAAAAAAGTTAAAGTTACAGCCTATTAAAGTCCACTGCTGAACATAGGCCTCCTCTCATTTCTGAGAGGGTTTTAGAGCAAGGAAATGTCCGCCGCGCTCCCTCAATGTGTGTTGGCGAACTTCACATGCCTTCAAAATTTTCTCAGACATGCAGGTTTCCTCACGATGTTTTCCTTCACCACCAAGCACGTGGTAATAAGCACTTAAAATTGCGATTAACAATTTAATTGGTGCTGGCGGGGATCGAACCCGGGTCGCGTACTGTGAAATTTACAGCTAGCGCTAACCATCTGAGTTACCACGGCTTAATCATATACATACACAATATTTAAATAAAATAATACACACACATGAAAATAACAGAAAAAAAGTAATTTAGTCAATATAATAAACACTTACATCCATAGCCTTTGGTGTATTGAAGTAACACAAATGTACTATTGATAGATCCACTGTAGTCAAACGACCGTACACTAACTCGATGACTGCGTCTGTTGGTCTTATATACCACCAGTACGTAAAAATTCTAATCTAAAGTATTTCCGTAATGAGTTGATAATTACTTTATGCGTCAACCAGTTTATCTCACATTTCCGTTGTCTATCTCAACATTTCTTCGTATTGTGTTTTGTTTGGTGATCAATGACTCAAGTACGATTTGTATAACACAAAAATGCAATTTAATATTTAGAAACATATCAGTTTATCTCACATTTCCGTTGCCTATCTCAACATTTCTTCGTATTGTGTTTTGTTTGGTGATCAATGACTCAAGTACGATTTGTATAACACAAAAATGCAATTTAATATTTAGAAATCACTATAATTGACCATTCCTATGTTATTCATTGAGTAGATTGGTACTGTAATAATCTACTAATAGCAGTAATATCATGGATACACTAGATGTACAACAACATCTGAAAAAGATTCACCCCAGTCTAGAAAATAATGTTTATGCAGCTAATAGACTGCCTATGTATACCCACGTACCAACGTATATAATATGTAATTTGGATACAGATGATAAACCAGGGTCACATTGGGTAGCTTTATATATCGATACGAATGACGTCGGTCAATATTTTGATTCATATGGACGATCACCTGTACGATATCATCTAGAGTTTTTAAAAAGGAATTGTAAAAGATGGAACTGGAATGTTGATAGGATTCAGAATGAGTGGACTTCAGTTTGTGGCGAATATTGCTTAATGTATTTGCTATATAAGTTTCAAGGATGCTCAATACATAGTTTTACGAGTATATTTACAAGGAACACATTGTACAACGATATTTTAGTGGATGAGATGTTTCGCTCCTATTTTATAGATAATAAGTAATAAGATTTTGTATTTTATAAATAAAAATTGTAACAAAATTATGTAATGTGTTTTATTGATGATTCAGATTAGCGTTGTATATTTAGGAACAAAGATGTATAATACAATAGCACTGATATAGTCGACGCACACGCTGCAATGAAGGTGATTAATGAACAATAGAACAATAGAAATAGGAACAATGGGACGCTAATGACGGTGGAGGCCCTTACCGGATATCAATTAGATATTAGCTAATTGATCTACACATCTCCGGAACCGTGCATTCTACACAAAAATGGACCGCGGATTCGTGATCAGAGCATGCCAAAACCTTTTTTTTTTTTTTTTAGGATTGTGTGTCGACGAACGTCGTTGAACCACGTCTGACTCAGGTGGTCTAGAAGTGGTACAACTACACTACTAGCCACTTACAATCAGGTACTCTGGGTTCGTTTGTCACTTCAGTTCTTTAAAAAAAATAAGCGTTTCAATATATTCATCGTGCAATGTTACCAGGAAATCAATTCTAGAAAATCATATTTTTTTATTATAAGGTTTTGTTTTGAAACCAGTTGAAGTGTTAATGATCAAGTATACAATGTTGGTAACCTTAGAGTATACATATTACATAACCAAGCCACATAGCTTTACTATAGGTACTCTAAGTTAGAAACGTATTTATTATTAATAACTATTTAGAAATTATAAAATCTCTTTTAACGTTGTATAGTCATTAAATGCTTTAATTATGCAAATGTAACAATTTTTTTTTATTATTTTTACCTAACTACTTGTTTAATTCGAGATAAAGTGCATTTTATATGCATAATAATAACATTATTCGAAGGAAACCGTGGATTATAACAATGGCCTTGAAATAACTGTTCATAACAACAGACTTAATATTTCATTTTCTCTTACTGGAAATCGAAATGTATCGAACTAAATATGGACTTATTAAGATTCTTGTAAAAAATATCCGTAAACAAGTATTACAGGTGCACATGGAGTATAAACTGTGCTGGTGCACTATGTTTTTAAATATTATCTTTTTATCTTTATCCCCGTGTAGTGGCGGGTAAGAATACTCACTACCTCATATCTTCCCGTAGGTGTCGTAAGAGGCGACAGAGGGAAACTGAGGCAGAGGATGGGCAGCAGCGTCTTTATGATAACAGCAAACCAACAATAAAAAACTGCGGTTGCTAACCCGTTCGCCAAGCGTGGCAACTATGGCAATATACCCCCCATGTGCAATGACACTATAATACGGCCGCCAGATGGACCGTGATTTGTGGCATTCCTTGGGGGAGGCCTATGTTCAGCAGCGGACTTGTGAAGGGCTGTAATGATGATGATGAGGGTTCTCTTCACAGAGGGTAACCAAAGGGACCCTATTACAAAGCCTCCGCTGTCCGTCCCTCATCTGTTAGTGGGCTGTATCTCAGACAGTTGGAATTTTCACAGAATGTATATCTTTGTTGCTGCTATAACAACTAATATTAAAAATAAATTAAAAATTATAGGGGCTCCTCTACTAGAAACGTGTATTACGATGGTATGGAAACCCTTTATTTAAATGACGCATCTCTCTGATAACTAATCAAAATTTTAGAAAATTCTGGTTGCCAACCTGTCTGCCAAAAGTAGCATGCTTCAAAGCATCAGCAAGCAAAGCATCATCAGCAAAGTGGTATCCATGGCAAATATCTCCTGTAAGAGAGAACCTATGGGGTGGGCTTGTGTTCAGCAGTAGACTTTGATAGGCTGGAATAACAATGATGAGTTGCTGGTGCACTTTTTGGATTGCACCATTTTATTATCTTGTTTTTGGTTTACCTAGGTAATAGTAGCCGGTATAGTCACAGCTATCAGTAAGTTGAAGTGTCAATGATGCCGGTCATCTATACTTATAAAAATACTCGTCCTGACTAACTGATTGATCCATCAACGCACAGCCTAAACCACCGAAGTCAGAAACTTGAAATTTTGACAGTAGTTTTTTTTTGACGTAGGCGAGCATTAAGAAAGGATTTTATGAAAGGATGCAGCGTAGTAGATTCTATAACGCATCCACTATATGGCAACAATAACTGACGTTAGTTAATAAAATCTTTAAGGAACTACTAGTGGAATAGAATTAGACTTCACGATCTAGACTCTAAGATTATTAAAAAGTTTTAAACATTACCTTTCCAAGATATCCAGTTCCACCAGTAACGAACACGGATTTTCCCGCATAAAAATCCGCAACGGACTCATTGGAACTCTCGTACATCAACATCATGAGCCTTTGAAGAAAACACAAACAAGTTACATTAGCACAAAAACAAAAACAATATATTTTCCAAAACTACAGTGATATTTTATAGTTTATACATGCAAGTTGCCTCTCTGCCTTCGAATAATAATAAGTGTTCTCACTTAGCTTGTCGGATTTTTATTGTATATCTAATGGAAAATGTGCAACATAGTAATTATTCACACAATTTATTAGTGATTTAATGTATAACCTGAACAGTTATGTCTTTTATGAGTCAAAGGTTGACTAATTGCTAGTGAGACATTCTATCTAACACATACATCTCTACTTACATACTAATAAGCAAATGGATACACACACCCTTACTTAAATATAAAAAATTCAAATTACAGTGACCTGCGAGTATTTATAAATTACAATTAATGACTAATTAGCATAGTGTAGATGCTAATTATGTTGCAGATATATTTTACGTGGTGAAGCCATGCTGCAGGTATATTAGTTTAGCAAGAATGGGTCGGCTCGACCAGGGTATAACCTCTTACAGAATATTACCGTAATAAATAATAGTTTAAAAAAACTAAAAGGTCACGCTTTTGTAGATAACAGAACTAAAAAGTATAAAATAATTTTCAATAAGTTTAAAATAAGAAAATAGTGATTAACATAAAAAAATAATTTTATTGTAAAAAAGCGTGGAGTGCAAACAAACTTCGTGAATAAATATTAATTGTTTTTATACGGTTATTGAGTATTTTGATTATTAAAAGCAAAACAAATAATATACTTAAATATCGTTATTTAAATTGCTTGAAACTTTTACTCTTAGTAAATAAAATAAGACTTCGATAGAATAATTATTACTTGATTATTTTTACTGACTTTACATATTGTGACGGCTCACAATTATTATTAATAAATAAAAATTAAATCCAATATAGAGACATTTCAATATAGAAACATGTACAAAATATTTACAAGAAATCACATCAAGCAACCCTCGGTTTTTACAATAAAATGAATTTTTGTGTTAATAACTGTTTTCTTATTTTAAACTTATTGAAAATAAATTATTTTATACTTATAGGTCGGTCTTAAGTCTACAAAAGTATTGTTTTTAGTTTTTTTTTAACTATTATTTATTTTCTATTTTTGGTGCGGCTTTGGTGTTTTTTTGGAACGAAGTTTTTTTACACGGCTTACAGCAGATTGAATTGGCAGAAATCGCAGTTGTTTAATGACAACTACGATTTCTATCAAACTGAAATAGACTAATCACAAATACCCGTACGTATAACGGCTGCATTGAAATTTTCTCCTGTCAAATATAGGAATATACGAGTAAATACATTTTAATGATCGCCCAGAATAATAGAAGTATTTAATCCAATATTAATTAAATCTAACTAACAAAAAATTAACTTTGATCCTATTGTTTTATTCAAATGCAGGCTGAATTCAAGAAAAAAATATTCCTCAAATGAATAATTACACATCAAATCAAAGTCGAGTACTTTCCATGTAAAAAGCAGATGGACTCATCGTTTTTAAAATATTTTTTTAATAGCATAAAGGTGACAAACGAGCACACAGTCCACTTGATGGTAAGTGGTTGCTGTGGCCCATAGACATCTACATCTATCTTCGATAAGGAACCAAAATATAAATACGTTGTCACCCGTGAAGACTAAGATGGAATGCCTCGTTTCCAGTAAAAAAGGGGCTCCGGTTCTCTATACTCACCATACGAAACTCAGATTATATTGTGATATAGGTAATGTGTCTTATATAACTTTAATTATACTGATATCTATTCTTAACTTAATTCTAATATGTGTATATATAGTCGTGAGGGCTATACCACACTAGGAATATATGCTGCTATTTTACGCTAGTATTCTGCAAGAGTGTAGTCCGACCCATTCGTGCTACAACTATACTACTAATATAGATGCAGCATGGCTCTACCACGTAAAAATTTATGTACTTATCGTAATACTTGGCGATTTTAACGCCTACCACGCCGAGTAGCTCGATTCACGTTTAACTGATCATGCGGGGAGATCTGTTCATGACTTTGCCTTGGCATATGGTCTGACACAACTGGTTACATCGCCTACGCGGATTGCAGATCATATACCTTCCCTGTTGGATATTCTACTGACCTCTCATCCGGATGGATATCAGGTTTCCGTCGATGCCCCTCTCGGCTCTTCGGAACATTGTCTGATCCGGAGTGTGGTGCCACTTACGCTCCCGTCGCGGTTGCGTTCTTCAGGTTGCCACCGTGTTTGGCACTATAGGTCGACCGATTGGGAAAGGGTGCGTTCTTTTTTTGCATCCCACCCTTGGGGGCGAGTTTGCTTTTCGCCGGAAGATCTCAGCGTTATAGCTGATCCTGAAGCTGATTGTGTTGCTGATGTGGTGCTTCAGGGTATGGAAAATTTTGTTCCATCCTCTGTGGTGCCCATCGTAGGCAGATCCCAGCCATTTTGGGTTTGGACGCTCCTGTGAAATAGCATCACTCTATAAGCAAGAGTGCTACCGGGCCTGGGCTGGCGCATCAACGTCTCGGGATGTAAACACCAGCGCTCTTAAAAATAAGTATCATTCCTCCTCCAGGTTCTTCAAAAGAGTCATAGCCAATGCAAGGTTTGAGCACATAGCCATAATTGGCGAGAAGCTAGTTCACCTTCCTTCGGGAATCCGTGCATTCCGGTCTCTCGTCAAGGCTGTCCAAGGGAACTTCTGTCAGCCATCTCGTCTATCTCCGCACAGGGAGGACGACTCACTGGCCCATGCCGCAAAGGAGAAAACCGATCTGTTAAGCTCTCTCTTTACGTCCAACTCGACACTAGATGACGGGGAGAACACACCTCCGACCATCCCGCGGTGTAAGTGCTCCATGCCGGATGTGTGATTTACACAGCGCTCGGTTCGCAAAGCACTCTTCTCCCTGGAGGTCAGCAAGTCGAGTGAGCCTGATGGAGTCCCTCCCATTGTGCTTAAGACGTGTGCTCCGGAGTTGGCACTGGTTTTAACTCGTTTTATCCGGGACTCCTACTCACAAGGCGTAGTCCCGAATTTATGTAAGACAGCTTTGATCCACCCGATCCCTAAAAAAGGGGACCGTTCAGACCCGTCCAACTACAGGCATATCGCCAAACTTGTTCTCCAAAATAATGGAGTCTATTATAATCTGCCAGCTCATGAGGTACCTTGAGGATCACCAGCTGATTAGTGACCGCCAATACGGTTTTCATTAGGGTTGATCAGCTGGTGATCTTCTGGTCTACCTGACTCATAGATGAGCGGAGGCATTAGAGTCTAAAGGGGACGAATTGGTTGTTAGTTTGGACATCGATCAGGTCTGGCACAAAGCGCTTCTTTCGAAGCTCCCTTCCTATGGGCTTCCCGAGAAATTGTGCAATTGGGTCACCAGTTTCCTTGCTGATGGGAGCATCAAGGTCGTAGTGGATTTTTCACTTAACTGCATCCAGCGCAGAGCGGTTCGAATCGTCGACGACCGGGTTTTTTCCGATCGGCTCAATACACGGGCACTGCTTAGGGATGTTTTATCAATTTGCATTTTCTATCGAATCTACCAGGGGAGTGCTCTGAGGAATCCGGAAGTTCGAATTAGTTCGGATTAATTCCAGCCGCCAAATTTCACGTAAGCACGTCGCGTCAAAATTCACGAGGGTGGTCCTCACCACTGGATGTTTGGCGGCCCACGACTGTACGTTTCACTAGGAGTTTTCTTCCTTGTACAACTTCTCTGTGGAATTTCGTACCACCGGCGATTTTTCAGGACCGATGCGACTTAGGGAACTTCAAGAAAAAAGCTTACACCTTACAAAAAGGCCGGCAACGCAACGCAAAAAAAAACGCAATTCTACTGGTGTTGCGGTTGTTCATGGGTGGCGATAGTCACTTACCATCAGGTGAGCCGCATGCTCGTTTGCCCCCTCTTCTATAAAAAAAAATTAAGTAAAATAAAAGAAATAATATTAACTCACGCTCCTTGTTTGCGAGATAACAGTTTACTTGACCTTATAATTCTAGATATAAATCGTCTCTCTAGAACAAATGCGGATGGCATTTAAACTCTCTAAATCTCTACCTCATTTTTGTCGAATTTTGCAATAATAAAATTAATCACCGGGTATTTAAATAAAGGCTTCAATGTAAACAATATGAGCCAATATAAACGTTGAAATAGACTTATTATGTAAAAATGCTGGCATTTCTTCGGGCTTCTCCACAACTACTCACTAACTATAAGAGACGAAAGTTGCTTAGACCACTTTAGCTATAACATCATTAATGCCACTATCTAAAACTATCTAAACAGGTCATCATCATTATCATCATTACAGCCCTTCACAAGTCCACTGCTGAACATAGGCCTCCCCCAAAGAATGCCACAAAGCACGGTCCTGAGCCACCTGCATCCATCGACTTCCTGCATGTCTTACCAGGTCGTCACTCCATCTCGTATGGGGGACGCCCTACACTTCGCCTACCGGTACGAGGCTGCCACTCGAGAACCTTTCTTCCCCATTGGTTGTCGGTTCTTCGAGCTATATGGCCGGCCCATTGCCACTTCAGCTTACTAATTCGTTGGGCTATGTCGGTTACTCTGGTTCTACTGCGGATATCCTCGTTCCTAAGTTTATCACGCAGAGAAACTCCGAGCATAGCCCTCTCCATAGCTCGCTGAGCAACCTTGAGCTTCCTCATCCGGCCAGCAGTGAAGGACCACGTCTCAGTTCCGTATGTCATCACTGGCAACACGCACTGGGTGTACAGTCTCGTTTTCAAGGTTTGAGGTATACCTGACGAGAAGATGTGCCGTAATTTTCCGAACGCTGCCCAACCGAGTTGATTCCGTCGATTGACCTCTCGGTCGAAGTTGGACTTACCTAGTCGGACTATTTGTCCCAGGTAAACATACTCGTCAACAACTTCGAGTAAGTGTTCCCAACAACTAGCGGCATAGGTGTGACATGGACATTAAACAT